ATTTCTTTTTCCCAGGGGTGCTTTGCTCTCTGTCAGAGGGGAATTGGCTCGCCTAACAAAATTCTGTCTATGTTTATTAATTTAAAGGTATAAAGTTGTAAAAATTGTGGTCCAAAAGGTTAAAAGCAGGGACCGAATTCTAAAGTTAGCTATTTACAAGAAGAAAGCTTGAGCTGGCAAAGTCACAAAGTCTGCCCAGCAAGCTCAAAAAAACAAACAAAAACTAAATGAATCTTATTTCTGACACCTGCTGCCACCCAGTCTTGATCAGTGGTGGAGAAATGGTCTCAGAACTGTTTGTCTCAATTGGCCATTTAAGTTTGATGTGATTAATGATTGCAGTACATTGTAAAATATTTAGAAGAAAAGGAAAATATTTTGTGGGCCACATGGTCCTTGTGTGTGTGTGTGTGTGTGTGTGTGTGTGAACTCTTAAGTTATAGTTTTAAAATTAGTAGGATTAATGGAAACACACTCAAGCAGAGGAGCTTTTCAGAAAGGTCAGGGAGTCTGATTGCAGTGTAGGGGTCACCAGTTCCCCCCACGCCACCTTTGTCGGCAGGAGGCAAGCGATTTTCCCAGCAGACTGCCAGATGAAAAACTCTCGCTGCCTCAGTGGGAGCACCTCCTTCACCACCTGGGACCGGAGCCGTGCTCCCTGTCTCCACCCACCTGGCGTCCATCCTCTCCAGGAGTTGTTTTGAGTAGCTGGAGGTGGCAGCAAGGAGGAAATTCCCTTGTGACCCCCTGCACCCCAATGAGACCCAAGAACCCCTGGTGATTCCTTGGACACTTTCCACCGTGTTCTGTTAGGGGCTTAAAGGTGCAGCTAGAAATTCTCCCATTCCCCTTTTCAGGCTTATCAGAATCTGAGATCCATATCTGTAGGGAAAATGTGGCATTTTAAATTTCAAGCAGCTGGAGGCTTGGGAACAGGGTACTGGACCTGCTCCCTTCACACTCTGCCTTTTTCTAAATATTTTAAAATAATAATAAAAAAAAAATTTTGAGGCATGGTTATGCATTTTTGAAGAAAAAGCCAGCAGCAAATAGGAAGGAATTAATATGCCTATTGTAGGAAGCAGGGGCACTGAAAAAGAGAATGTCCTGGCAGGTTAGCTAGAGAAGCAAAAAGGAGACTCAGACTCCAAGGGTTTTTAACTTAGAGGAAGAGGACTGACAGGACCGGGGCTCCTTTCCATTAAACCCCCAGGGTAACTTTACAAATGGAGGGCAAACCTATTAGTTTCCTGGTGGATACTGGGGCAGCCTATTCAGTCTTGACAGAGCTGATGGCACCTGTAACCTCTAAGAAGACATCAGTCCAGGAAGCCATCGCACAAACTGCCTGTTTTCCTTGGACATCAAGAAGGACTGTGGACCTCGGAAGGAGCACGTACTGGGGGAACTCAGATGCTGAACTGGACCAAAGTGGAACAACAGGACTTTGAGGAGCTAAAGAAGGCTCTTATCCCAGCTCCTGCCCTAGCCTTGCCAGTTGTCACGAAGCCCTTCCACCTCTATGTGAGTGAGGTAGGGGGCATTGCCAAAGGGGCTCTCACTCAGACTCTAGGTCCCTGGAAGAGACCTGTGGCTTATCTGTCTAAGAGACTAGACCCTGTGGCAGCAGGGTGGCCCACGTGCTTCTGGGCAGTGGACACCACAGCATTGCTAGTAAAGGAGGCAGATAAGCAAACTCTGGGCCAGGAGCTAGCCCTGATAACACCCCATGGTGTGGAGGCCCTCCTTCGAGGTGCTCCAGAGAGATGGATGTCAAACACCAGAATCACCCAGTGCCAAGTTCTTCTCCTGGACCAGCCCTACATCCGGTTCCATAAGACACTGGCCATCAACCCTGCCAGCCTACTTCCAGATGATCCAGAGGAACCCATTTATGACTGTATAGAGGTAACAGATGCAGTACAAACAGCTCATCCAGACCTGACAGATGTCCAGCCATCATCACCAGATGAGGTACTGTTCATGGGTGGGAGCAGTTACGTTCAGGATGGGATCCGATATACAGGGTCAGTGGTAGTCACCCTGGACCACACCATTTGGGCACACTTCCTGAACAGGGGAACATCAGTAAACTTTTGGCCTTAATCCAAGCCTTTCAAGAGGGACACTGTATGCCATCCACTGAGAAAGAGGGTTACCAACTTCAGCCGGAAAGGACATTAAAAATAAGGAAGAAATTTTAACCTTATTAGAGGCCATCTGGCCCCCAAAGGCAGTTACATCAGAAAGGGGAGACATCAGAAAGGGGAGACAATTGAAGCCAGAGGAAATAGAGCCACAGACCAAACTGCTAAGGAAGATGCCTCCAAACCAGTGGGGTCTTATACAAGTCTTAGTAACCCTGCCAGACCCCGACCTATGATGGACCCCTCCTACATCAAACAAGAGGAGGAATTGGCAGAACAGAACCAAGCCATCAAAGGACCAGATGGTTGGTGGACCCTACCAGATGACAGAGTGTTGGCTCCAGAGGCTCTAGGTTGGATGTTAGTTGCCCAGTTACACCAGGTTACCCTCAGCCACACCAAGACTTCTGAACTTCTGTGAGACAGATACTACCAAGCTTAGATAAGATAATTAAAAGCATAGTCACTAGAAGTACTGTCTATGCACAGGTAAATGCTAAGCAAGGTAAGAGGGTCCCCCTGGAAATTCGGGCCCCAGGGAAATTCCCCAGGAGAGCATTGGGAGGTGGATTTCACAGAGATTAAGCCACCAGCATTAGAGTATAAGTACCTGCTAGTTTTTATAGACACCTTCTCAGATTAGGTTGAAGCATACCTCACTAGGACAGAAACTGCCTCTATAGAGGGCAAGAAATCACTCCAGGAGATTATATCTAGATTCGGGCTGCCTGGAGTCATAGGAACAGATAACAGCCTCGCCTTTGTAGCCAAGGTATCTCAAAGTACAGCTCAAGTCTTAGGACAGGCATGAGCAGGACTCTAAAAAGTTTAAATTAGTCCTAGAACCCGGTGAAAACTGGACCAACCTCCTGCCCTTCACCTTTATATGGGCCAGGTGTACCCCTTACCAGGACGGGTTTTCCCCCTTTTGAGATCATGTATGATAGACCTCCCTCCATCCTTCCCAGGTCAGGGAGAAACTGAAAACTGGAATTCATAACTATTCCCTTGCTCAAGTCCTTACAGACTCTGCAGTATACCCGGAGAATTACCCATAAGCTTGTTCCAGATGCACTGCCAATGCCCACCGCAGACCCTGTACACCCTTTCCAGCCCAGGGACTTAGTGTGGGTAAAGAAGTTCACTGCCCAAGGACTCACCCCAATCTGAAGGGATGCTACACTGTTATCTTGAGCACACCCACGGCTGTTGAAGTAGATGATACCCAGACCTGGCTACACCACTCCCAGCTCCTGCACAGAAAATGGCCTGGATCCTGGCAACCACTGGCCTCACTCGTGAAATCCCTAGCCTGGGCTCCACACCGGCCAGGAGGAGACTTGATGCCTGCAGGAGGGAAACTGGACTTCAGTGAGGACTAATGGGGACTGTAGTACTAGGGACCTTGGTAACTGTAAGAACATTTTTGCTAGCCAGTGAGAAAGTCCGGGGCTACGTAAGGCTAGATGTGCTAGGGGACGGGAGAGCAGGAACTTAGGCATTCGCTTACTTGCTTAAACATAGGGTAGTTGTCTCAGCTTCCAGATTGAGACCTGGAGGCTAAGGCAGTTTTCCTGTGCCTGTGGGCCAGGACCACAGGAGACTGATTCCCACTGACTCAGTAGCTTCAGGAGTAGAAACTACAGATAACCTTTAGATATTAACCACTCAGGTCTGGTTCTGTACTATCTGCTATCGCAAGATAGGGCCACATTCCAATGCTCAGCAGGATGTGGCTGGGAACGACCCTGCAGGCTGTTCCCAGCCTTTAGAATTTAGAATTTAGAACAAAGGAAAATTTTGTGTTTAGACCTTTAAAAGGACTGCCTACACTTGGAATGGTGGGGTCTTGTGGACTCCACCTGCGTGTGGACTCCACCTGCGTGTAGTGCTCTTGAGGCTGTCCTGGCCAGTTCAATAAATCCTTGCCTGATTTTGAACCCAGGGTTTGACCCCACAACAGCGGATGTAGTCAATAATTTTGTAGTAACTGTATGGTGGGTACTAGACTTACCAAGGGGATCATTTATTAAGTTACATAAATGTCAAATTACTATGCTGTATACTTGAAGCTAATACAATATTGGATGCTGTAACTGCAAAATAAAAGAAAATATGCCTCCGTAGCCATATTTATAAAAGACAAAGTGGAATTCAAAGTTGTTGTTTTTTCCCCCCAACACTTGGAAAATTTAATTCATGGCCTTCTTGCACCTCACTTTGATTCTCTCTCCTTTGAGCCTCTCTCTTTAAATTTTTATAGCTTTTAGAATTTTCTTTTATATTTTCTTAATTCGATCTTTTGAATTTCCCTATGTCTAAACTGGCTTTTCTGTTATTTATCTTGTTTGCTACTCCATGAATCTTTCAATCCTTTCGATATGCATGTTTCTGATTTCCTGGGTCGGGCGGTGGGATTAGTGGTAATCTTAGGGTTTGCACCCCTCAGATTTACAGCTCCATGGATCCGTCAGAAATTTTGGCTCCCTATAAGCCTCTCAACAGCCACGCCTCCCCAGCGCTGACGGCTCATTCGCGCCTCCGCCTCCCCCATTATCTTCCTCTCGTTTAAGAATGAAAATGGAAAAAGGGTATCTTTTTTTTTTTAACGGAAAAGCACCTATGGAAATGGGAAAAAAAAATGATTAAGAACTCTTGGTTCTGAAATCCCACCTGCCCCTCTCTGCTCGCCTGTGCAGGGCGGGGGTGGGGGGTGGGGGGGGGGAGAAAAGGAGCGAGGAGCTGGCCAGCGTTGAGCAGCCTCGCTGGAGCTGCGCACAGTCTGGAGCTCCGGCGTGAGAGTTTTTGGGCTTTCCAGCTGAAGCCGGGCCCCCTGGTCGGCCAGGAGCGGAGATGGAGAGGCGGGTGAGCGGGGCCGGGCGCGGGGAGGAGGGCGCAGGGCGGCCTGGGGCGGCGGCGGCGGGGGGCCCAGGGCGCCAGGCTGGGGCTGGGCTCGCACCATCTGCTCCGGAGGGAGCTAGGTTTTCCGCCAGCGCTTTCCTCTTAGCGCTTTTACCCGGGCTGAGAAGAGGATTTCTCCTTCCACAGGGCGGCCTCCAGGCTGCCTGGCATTCTGGCTCTCTGTTTCAATGCCCCGAAAACAGAGCGCTGCTGCCAGGCAGAGGCTCCGGAGATGCTGCTCCCAGATCCCTGCCATCATGGGAGTGGACCTGCGCCGCCGGGAGGCCGGGTCCTCTCTGCGGGCCGCCGGCGGAGAGGCTCCCTGCCTCTGGCTGGAAGGAAGGCGAGGCGAACACATCTGTTTTAAGCTGCCTCCCCCCAAAATCCCTGTCGACACCCAACAGCTGGGGTGGGGGCTGCAGAACCCAGGGCTCAGGGAGAGAGCTGGCTTCCTCCTGGATGCGCTGGGCTCTTTCTCCATCCTCTGGACCTTTGCTCGGGAAGCCATAAAAGGTTTACAACCCTGGGTATCTAGGAGAGACAGACATTTTGTGTGTTCCGCATCTGTTCACACGACACACCAAACGAAGGACAGAATGCTCATTTACATGGGTATAATGCATTAAACGATAAAATTACAACGAATAAAATGTAAAATCCAAATACAAAAATACCTCAGGATAATTTTTTTTCTTGTATACTGTATTGGCAAGACCACACAGCCAGGGACTTTGATATCGCTCCTAACAAAGAAGGGTGGTCTTAACAAAGAACTGGTGTTTCCGTATGCCCGATGCTCTTGATCTTTACCTGACCATGCAAATAAAGAAACAGCAGGGAGGTTAATTTTTCAAGTCCATGTGACTACATGTGGTGGGATCAGGTTTGGGACCTAGGAATTTTCAGAAGTATGAATAGGGGCAGTGCAGCTGGCAGGTGGGCAGATGTCAGGGAAGACCCCAGCCTCAGTGAAACCTGGCAAAGGGTAGAAGTGGACTTTATTCCATTATTGTACTCCCTGTATATGATTTGAATGATGAATTGTTTAGATACCTAACATATATTGGCATTTACTGTAGCTTAAGCACTGTGTTAAGTGCCTAAAATGCTTAATTCTCATAGCCACCCAGTGAGGTAACACCATTTATTTATTTTTCACCCTCAATATTAGCTACTGTGGTTTTTTAAAAATTATAGTTAATATTCAATATTATTTTATATTTTTTTAAGGTGCACAGCGTAGTGGTTAGACATGGATATACTTTACGAAGTGATACCCCTGTTAATTCTAATATGCACCTGGCACCATACATAATTCTTAGAATAGTATTGATTATATTCTCTATGCTCTACTTTATGCCCCTGTGACCATTTTATAATGGCCAATTTGTACTTCCCTATCCTTTCACCCTTTTCACCCAGTCCCCCATACCCTCTCCCCCCTGGCAAACATCAGTCTGTTCTTTGTATCTATGAGTCTGTTTCTTTTTTTGTTCATCAGTTTATTTTGCTCTTTAGACTCGACACATGGTGTTTGTCTTTCTTTGTCTGACTTATTTCACTTAGCATAACTCCCTCTAGGTCCATCCATGTTGTTGAAAATGGTAAGATTTCATTCTTTTTATGGCTGAATAATATGTACAATACTACTACTTTTTTATCCACTGGACTGTTGATGGGCTTTTGGGTTGCCTCTATATTTTGGCTATTACAAATAACATTTCAATAAACATAGGGGTCCATATTCCTTTGATTGAGTGTTTTGAATCACTGGGTCATAAGACAGATTCATTTTTAATTTCTTAATTGAAACTTCATACCTTTTTCCATAATGGCTGAACCGATCTGCATTTCCACCAACAATTCACGAAGTTTCTTTTTTTTCTACACATTCTCGCCAACACTTGTTGTCTGTTGATAACCATTCTGACATATGTGAGGTGATATATCATTGTGGATTTTATTATTTTATTATTTTATTTTAATACTCATCTGAGCACATGCTTAGAGAGAGGAAAGGAGAGGGGAGAAGAGAGGAGGAGAGGGGAGGGGAGGAGAAGGACACACTGCTGATGTAAAAAAAAGACATCAATTGGTTGCCCTCTGTATGCTCCTCAACTGGGGATCAAACCCACAGCCAGGTGTATGCCCTGACCTAGAATCAAACTAAAAACCCTTTGGTGCATGTGACAATGCTCAACCAACTGAGCCACTCCAGGTGGACAAAAAAAAAATCTGTGTGTGAGTGTGTGTGTGTGTGTGTGTGTGTGTGTTTAATTGAATTTAGAGAGAAAGGGAAAGGGAGAGAGAGAATGAGACCAATAGGGTATCGAGCTCACAATCAGGAATCGAACCTGTGACCCTTCTGTGCATGGGATGATGCTCAGCCAAATAAGTCACACTAATCAGGGCTTCATTGTGGTTTTAATTTGCATTTCTCTGGCAATTAGTTATATTGAGCATTTTTTCATATGTCTATTGGGCAACTGTATATCCCACTTGGAGAATTTGTCTACTCAGATCCTCTGCTCACTTTTAAATTGGATTGTTTGAGGGGAGGGGAGAGGATTCGGTGTTAAGTTGTATGAGTTCTTTATAACTTTTGGATATTAACCCCTCTTGAATATATCATTGGTGAACGTGTTCTCCCATTCAGTAGATTGTATTTTCATTTTGTTCATTGTTTCCTTTACAGAAACTTTTTAGCTTGATATAGTCCCATTTGTTTATTTTTTTTTCTTTTGTTTCCCTGACCAAGGCAGGTATATCAGAAAAAAATATTACTAAGAGCAATGTTAAAGAGTTTACTGCTTCTGTTTTCTTTTAGGAGTTTTATGGTTTCAAGTCTTACATTTAAGTCTCTAGTCCATTTTGAGTTTATTCTTGTATCTGGCGTAAGAAAGTGGTCTAATTTCACCTTTCTGCATGTATATATTTAATTTTCCCGACTCCATTTATTTATTAGACTCTTTACTCAATTATATATTCTTGCCTTCTTTGTCATATATTAATTGTCCATATAGATGTGGGTTTATTTCTGGATCTTTATGTTGTTCCATTGATCTCTGTGTCAAAACAGTGCTATTCTGATCACTACATCCTTGTAGTATAGTTTGATATCAGGTTGCATGATACTTCCAACTTTGTCCTCCTTTCTCAAGATTGCTGTGGCTATTCAGGGTCATTTGTAGTTTCAAATAAATTTTTGGATTATTTGTTCTAGTTTTGTGAAATGACACTAGAAATTTTGATAGAAATTGTGTTGAATTAATAGATTTCTTTGGGTAATATGAACATTTTAACAGTGTTGATTTTTCTTATCCATGAGAAAGATATATTCTTTCATTTATTTGTTTCTTCAGTTTCCTTCTTCAATGTCTGAAAATTTTCTGTGTACAGGCCCTTTACTTCCTTGGTTAATTTATTCCTAGGTATTTTTTGATGCAATTGTAAATGAGACTATATTCTTAATTTCTTTTTTGATAGTTCATTATTGGAATAGAAAATGCAACAGGTTTCTGTTTACTAATTTTGTATCCTGCTACTATATTGAATTCATTTATCAATTCTATTCATTTTTGGGTATAATCTTTAGGGTTCTCTCAAGATAGTATTGTATCTATAAATTATAACAAATTTTACTTCTTTCTTTACAATTTAGATGCCCTTTATTTCTTTTTATTGTCTGATTGCTGTGACTAGGTATTCCAATGTTATGTTGAATAAAAGTGCTGAAAGTGGACAACATTGTCTTGATTCTGATCTTAAAGAAAACACTTAGCTTTTCCCCATTGAGTATGATGTTAGCAGTGTGTTGTCATATAGGGCCTTTATTATGTTGAGGTATGTTCCTTTAATTCCCACTTTACTGAGAGTTTTTATCATAAATGGATACTAAATTATGTCAAATGTTTTTCCCCCCTGCATGTATTGAAATAATCATATTATTTTTATCCTTCATTTTGTGTGATGTTTCATGTAAATTGATTTGTGAATATTGAATATACCTTGCATCCTAGGAATAAATACCATTTGATTATAGTGTATGATCTTTTCAAAGTATTGCCGAAGTTGTTTTTGCTTATACTTTGTTGGCAATTTTTGCATCTATGTTCTTTGGTGATATTGGCCTATAATTTTCTTTTCTTGTGATGTCTTTGTCTGTTTTGGAATCAGGGTAATGCTGGTCTTGTAAAATTGAGCTTGGGAACTTTCTAGTCTCTTAAAATTTCTGGAATAGTTTGAGGATAGATGTTAATTATTTTAATAGTTGGTAAAATTCCCCTGAAAAGCAATGCATTTAAGAACTTTTGTATTTTTGGAGTTTTTATTTTTTATTTTTTTTATTACTGAATCAATTTCATTGCTAGAAATTGGTCTATTAAGATTTCCTGTTTTCTCTTTATTCAGTCTTGGAGATTGTGTATTTCTAGATTTGTGTATTTTTCCTTCTCTTCCATATTATTCAATTTGTTGGCATATAATAATTCAGAGTATTTTCTTGTAATCCTTTGTATTTCTGTAATGTTGGTCATTTCTCTTTTCTTGATCATTTTATTTGAATACTCTGTTTTGTTTTATGAGTCTGGTTAATCTTTTCAATCTTATTGATATTTTCTTATCATTGATCTTTTGTATTATTTTTAGATTCTATTTTATTTATTTCTACTTTGATATTTAATATTTTCTTCTCACTTTCGGCTTTGTTCTTTTTCTAGAGTCTGTAGGTGTAAATTTAGATTATTTGAGATTTTTCTTGTTTCCTGAGGTAGGCCTGTATTGCTATAAATTTTTCTTATAGGACTGCTTTTCCTGTGTCCCATATATTTTGGATTGCTGTGTTACCTTTTTCATTTTGTCTCAAGGTATTTTTTTAAATATATTTTATTGATTTTATATAGAGAGGAATTAAGAGAGATAGTTAGAAACGTCGATGAAAGAGAGTCATTGACCAGCTGCCTCTTGCACACACCCCACTGGGGATGTGCCCACAACAAAGGTACATGCCCTTGACCGGAATCGAACCTGGGACCTTTCAGTTTGCAGGCCAATGCTCTATCCACTGAGCCAAACGGGTTTTGGCTCAAGGTATCTTTTGATTGCTTTTTTTTTCTTTTATTGTTTAAATATTACATATGTCTCCTTTTTTCTCCATTTACCCCTCCCTGGCCACTCCCACACCCCAGGACAAGCCCCCACTGCCCCAGAGTCCCTATTCTTGGTTATGCTAATATGCATGTATACAAATCCTTTGGTTGATCTCTTATACCACCCCACTACCTCAACCCCATCCCCCAACCCCCACCCCATTTCCTGCTTTTCCTCTGAGGTTTGACAGTCCGTTTGGTGTTTCTCTGTCTCTGGATCTATTTTTATTCATCAGTTTATGTTGTTCATTTTATTCCACAAAAGAGTGAAATCAAGTGATATTTATCTTTCTCTGACTGGCTTATTTTGCTTAGCTTAATGCTCTCCAAGTCCATCAATGCTAGATTTCTTCTTGAATCTCATTGTTAATACATTCATTGTTCAGTAGTCTGTTATTTAGCCTTCATGTGTTTTTAATTTTCTTCTTGTAATTGATTTCTATTTTTATACCATTGTGGTCAAAGAAGATTCTTGATATGATTTCCAAATTCTTAAATTTCTTAAGACTTGTTTTGTGGCCAACATGTAGTCTATCCTGGAAAATGTTTGACTTGCATTTGAAAAAAAATTTATATTCTGTTGATTTTAATTTAATATCAATTAAATCCATTTGATCTCATGTATCATTTAAGGCTATTGTTTTCTTGTTGATTTTCTGTATGGAAGATCTATCCATTGATGTTAATAGGGTATTGAATTCCAGTGCTATGACTGTATTACTGCTGATCTCTCCCTTTATGTTTGTCAGTATCTGCTTTATATATTTAGGTACTCCTATGTTAGGTACATAAATGTTTATAAGTGTTATATCCTCTTATTGGATTGCTCTCTATATCAATATTTAATCTCTTCCTTTGTCTCTTATTATAGCCCTTGCTTCAAAGTCTATTTTAATTTGATGTAAGGATTGGTATCCCAGGTTTTTCCCCCCTCTCTATTTGCATGAACTATTTTTTTCTCCAACCCTTTTAGTCTGTGTGTGTCTTTCATTCTGAGGTGGGTCTCTTGTTTACAGCATATGTATGGGTCTTATTTTGTTATCTATTTAGTTACCTAAGTTTTTTATTGGAGCATTTAATCCATTTACATTTAAAGTATTATCAATAGTTACATTTTATTGCCATTTTATGTTTTATAACTATGTTCTTTTTCTACTTCTTTTCTTTGTTTTTTTTTTTTAATGTGTCCTGTAATCCTGGTATGTTGGTAATAAACTCCTTTAACTTTTTTGTCTGGGAAGCTCTTTATTTCTCCTCCAATTTTAAATGGTATCTTTGCTGGGTAGAGTAGTCTTGGTTGTAGTTCCTTACTTTTCTTCACTTTTAATATTTCATGTCAATCCCTTATGGCCTGAAAATTTATGTTGAGAAATCAGGTGAAAATTTTATGGGAGTTTACTGGTACGTAACTACTTGTCTGTCTCTTGCTACTTTTAAGATTCTCTCTTTGTCTTTAACCTTTCCATTTTAATTATAATAATTTTGATGTAGGTCTCTTTGGGGTCATCTTGTTTTGGATTTTTTGCATGTCCTTCATCAGGCTAGGAAGATTTCCAGTCATTATTTCTTTAAATAGGTGGCTGACTGTGCAGGACCTGGATGCATGTAGGAGAAGCCATGCTGTGAACTAAGGCTTCTACCAATACTGAGTCAAAAGTCAGGTTAGCAGAAGGCCAAGGCAGCCTAAGATCTACTTCCACCTGCCATTTGCCCTAAGTCTCAGCTGCTGAAAGAACCTTAGGCAGTATGCAAATTTCTGAAGCAGGATGGGGGAGAGACACCAGGGTGGTGTGAGTGGTGTTCACCAGGTTAACACAGTTTCCTGTTTGGTGTTTGTACTGAGCCTGAGGCTGTTCAGCAAAAGCCACCCTTGTCTAGGGCCTGAAGACCTTTGCAGTGAGATGGGGTCTCAGGGTGGAGCTAATGGAGTTCACCAGGCCAAGGCAGAATCAAGTTTGGCTGTGTGGGGAGAGACAATGGCTGATATCCCTCCAGCCCTCACCCTGAAACCACACAATTTATCTTGTCTGTGTATGTCTCTGGAACTTCCCCTTCTGACCCTCTCCTCCCCTCCACCTTCCCCACCCCTCTCCCCCACCTCCGCTCCAGCCACTCTTTCCGGTGTGGAAGCCCAGAGTGAGTGCCTGCAAGTGAGACCTTGTGTGCAGGCCCTATAAGAGGACACCTGGGTTTCTAGCAGCCTTCCGTCTCACTCAGATGAAGGGAATCTTTGCTGACTTTCACAATCATGTTATTGTGTGGGCTTCTATTCCCAGCACTGGTGTTTTGAGCTGGGGAGCCCATTATGGGGCTGAGACTCTTTGCACCTCAGGAACATTCTCTATAGTTGAGATATTCCTCTGGATTCATGGGTATAGAACCAGCCCATTTTGTATCTCTGCTACCTCAGCATGGCTTCTTCTTTGTATCCTTAGTTATAGAGTTTCTATTCAGCAAGTCTTCAGATGTTTCTCCAGGTTGACTGTTCTATCGCTTAGTTGTAATTTTGGTGTGACCATGGGAGGAGGCAAGTACAGCATCCTCCTACTCTGTCAACTTTACCAAAACCCCAACATCAACATTTATTTAGTGATCAGTTGTGTCAGGCACTGTTCTAGGAGCTTTACATATACTACTTCATTTAATCTTTTTACTATTATATGCAACAGAAGTGAAAGCATTTGCCATAGCTCTAACATCTAGTATTTCTGCTAGCCTCAATTCAAGCCAGCCAGAGTAAAGATGTAGTACATATTTAATAGTTAGACTTTCCTTCTAATTCCCCTTGGGACAATTGTGAAGTGTTGGGTTTGCAGGATCTGAACTGACAAAGATAATGTGACATCAAAACTAAGTATCTAACTCTAGTTGGGATGAAGGTCAGTTTAAAAAAAATAAAGAAAATGCATATTTCTTGCACACATTTAACTAACAGAAAAACCCAGAAATACAGAAAAAAAATTTAAGGAAAAGTTACATTTCTTCTCTATTTCCCTTATAATGAACACATTCATGTAAACCAAGTGAACAGATACTTCACAGATAAATTAATCTCTCTACATTCTGCCCACATTTGAGAGCAAAATGATACCCGGAATAACATTCCCTTAAATAGCAACATGATTTGTAATACGGCCAAAGATTTATGCCCAGACACATGAAAACAAAGCAATGAAGAAAAAATAAAGCTATTACTTGTGTGTGCGTGTGTTTTTTCATTGATGGTTTTTAAAAGGTATAGTTCATATAAAATTTGCAGAATTTGAGGAAAATCTACCTCAGCAAACTGCAAGGCAGTCACTTGTTTCTGACAAGTAGTTCCCCTGAGTTACATTTATAATGTTAACGGATGTGGATTATTTTGGAAGTGGGTACTCTTTGACATTTGTGGTCTGTTTTCGGTGTATTTTTAGTCCTTTGTTTTCCCCAGGGATCTGTGCCTTTGGATTTTGCTCTTGACCATGGTGGCTCTAGGAACAAGGCCTCAAATTGCTAGGGGTTGCCATACTGAAGGAGCCACACTGCTGCTTTCCCCTTCCCATATCCTGAGCACACTGTTATTTCTTTCATTTATAGTCTCTGGTTCTGCTTTCTCAAAACCAAAGTTCTCTGGTGGTTACAACTTTAGCTGCAACATTCCCTGAGGTAACAATGAAATTGAAGCTTCCTTAGCGTTGTCCACATCCAAATGCCAATTTTTGTGCTTTGCTCTGTGTCTTCAGGTGTTCGAGAGGTCCTTCTGTCATCTGTCTACCTCCAGACTGGTTTGGTTCTTGGTCGCAGTGATGCTATGCAAGGCACAAGGTAAAGACACTCCATTCCCCTGTATGGGGTCCAGGAGATTGTGGTTTCTGCTGTGCTGGTTCCTTTTGCCTGCATGAATTATAAACGTATAATTTGATCGGAGGAGTGGAAACAGTTCTTTCTGCTTTGCAGAGTCTTTTTGTTTTCCAAGTGGAAGAAGACTGCTATTTAGACATTGTTTCTATAGATAGAACCAGGCATAAACAATTCTAAATTAAGATATTTCTTACGAATCAACTCAAATAACTTTTACAACAACAATCACCTCTGTTTGTAAAGATATGGGAATGCTTGGGGACTATGAATGAATACAACCTTTTGGAAAGGTAATTTGATAGTAAGCCTTAAAACTGAGTGTGCCCCTCTTTTACAGAAAAATCTAGAAACTAAAGAAATATAAAAGTTACCTAGGTTCACATAGTCTATTACATAAAGCCTACGCCTGTGCTGTTGATGTATCTGCTGCCTTTCCTAGTTGTGCCAGACCTTTATCCTCTGTTCCATTGGGGGCCACCCCTTGCTTTGCTGCTGGCCTTCTATCACCTTCTGTGTGACAGTGCACACATCAGCCTTCCTAGGTGAAGGACGGGCAGACTTCACATTACCTGCAACACAGGATTTACCTACTGACTGGGGGATCTAAATGAAATTATATATACACAGTAAAGAATTGCAAAACTTTCCATTAAATAGTTTCTTCATAGTTAAAGAGAAAAATCACCCCAGGAAGTTAAAACCCTGGCTTTGATCCCTTTCTCCTCTTCATTCTAAAAGCAGCAATTTCTTCAAATTGATTTGCAGAATCCCAACAACAGGTATTGTCCTCAGAACTTTTCACACCTACCAAGAGCACACCTCACTAAAACTTGATTCATATTATACAACACTCTGGGGTTCCAAATGGTATTTGTCGCTATGTCCATCTTTTTACGCCTGATGTTGTTGAGAGAATATTGTTTGCTTGTGCTGACTTCTTTTTTTCTAATTACACTAGTCAACTTTTTGTTAGTCTTGAAACAACAGATTATGGTGTTTTTAATTCAGTCTACATTTTGTGTACTGTTCCATTAATTTGTGCTTTTATCTTTATTAATTCACTCTTTTTACCTTTTTTTCTGGCTTAGGGTTGGGGATTTGGCTTAGATTTGTATGTGTTTTCATTTTTCCAATCTCTCTGAAATCCTAATAAATTTAGATTAAATATTTCTCTCTGAGAACTGCTTTTTCAGTTTCTACAGATTCAATATATTATATTCCCAATGTCATTCATAGTAATTTATAATCTTTGCTATTATTTCCGGTGTAATTAGTTAAAAGAAGCATGTAAGCTTCTAATTTTATTGCATTGGGCCCAACGTTCAGGATATTGGATAGCATAACTTTTTGTATCCTATTTCGAGTTCAATTTTGGGGAATGTTTCATGTGTTTTTGAAAATATTGGATATTCTCTTTTAGATAAAAGGTTGTAAATTCATATATATAAAATATATAAATATTTGCTTTTTAAATTTTATATACTTTTATATTTGACTTTTTGCTTTATTTAGTTTTTAATATATGGAAGTGAAATTCTGAGAGAACTATAGAAACTACCCTATTATTATTATGGATTTATAAAAATATAGTTGTATTAGCTTTTTATGTATTTTTTGGATTATTTTTTAGGTGCATAGAGGTTCATGATTAATGTATCTTATTTTAGATTGTTTCTTTTATTATTTTAAAATATATTTGTGTTTTTTACTTCCAATCTCCATTTTCTCTTCTTTTAAAAGTCTTATTGAACTAATGCTGAAACATTTCTTGTCTTTGAATTTTAGTTTAATTTCTTCTTCCGTATCTTTCTTACTTTGTGCTACATTCTGGATGAATTCCATGACCTGGTCTTTCCACCTGCTCATTTACTCTTCAGTGATATCCATTCTGCTAAGTCAGCCAATCTGTGAAGACTTTGTATTCCTCACTCCCTACATCTCTAATTTTTACTACTTACAATACTGGCTTATTTTTACAATTCAGATATATCTCACTTATTCTTGTTCAAGTGTTTATTGATTTATAAGAACTTTCTTAATTTGGTATAAATTCTTCGATTTGTCAAGTTTATTACTCCTCTTTCTTTGTGTCACCTTTCTCAAATGTTTGGCTATTTGTTATTATATTGAGATTTCCCACTGAATAGACAATCATATCATTAGAGGAGCCAGAATTAGAGGGAGGGAAATTATTGCCATGCCTTATATTCTACACCACATTCAATAAAAATGGGGGAATGTGTAGATTGCCATTTGGTTGTCAAAGTTCTCTCCACTATCAGCCTTCTGTAGCAGTGTCCTTTATATCTCTCTATCTTACTCTGCTGTATTCACTCCTAGAGGCAGACACCACTATTGCTGCCCCTTCCTTTGTACAGGGTGTGTATGGAAGTATAGGGATGTTATATTTTCTTTATTTAAATGAATCCCTCTGCCTATTGTCCATTTGCTCTTTGTACTCTTGGCTTCCACCTCTCTGGGCATAAAGTCACTTGGTAATATTTTTCTCCTTTCTGACATTTGCCCCCTTCAACTTGATTCCACCTAATTTCCAGCAAATAGGGATTCTTCACATTATTTCTTGTTCCTGAGAATTATTTTTCTTCTTATTTTTCTACTCTGCTACTTCTAAAGATGGAAAAAACATATTAGAACTTATATTTCCCTAGCAACATTAGAGATGTAGACAAATGTTTTCTTCTTTGACTTTTTCTTTTCTATAGTTGACTTTGAACATGCATTGCTTTTTAATCAGAAAAATTTGTATTTATGTGTGTGTTAATTTTTTTTTAATGATTCCATGATAAAAGTGCTGACCCGTGATGAAAGAAAGCTGCTGAACAAACCTGCTTCTTTAAGATGCGTCCTGGAAATTCCCCAAGAAGTCCTGATTGTGACATGGCAGAAAATCAAGGCTTCAAGCCCAGAAAACATGGTCACTTTCAGCAAGGAACACGGGGTCGTGGTGCAGTCACCCTATAAGGATAAGATGAACATAACCGAGCTGGGACTTCATAACACAACCATCACCTTCTGGAATACCACTCTGGATGATGAGGGGTGTTACAAGTGTCTCTTCAATACCTTCGGTTCTGGGAAGATTTCAGGAATAACCTGCCTCACCCTCTTTGGTGAGAATCTTTGAGAATACATTGTCTCTGACTAGAAATGCTATTTTCGAGAATGTTTAGAACATGGTGGTGGCACTTAGTTCTTCAGGGTCCTAACCCGAGAATGGTTTGTTAGAAGACACTTTCATGTCTACTGTAACTGTGGCTGTGTGGAAAGTTCATGAGGTTACATTGAATCTCTGCCTGGTGTTATCTTTGCTTCAAGGAGTCCTGTGGTCATCAGGAGCAAGTGAAGGACCGGGTAATGACAACCAGTTCCACATAAACAGCGATAGTATGCAGACTTGGCATTGACGTTAGCAATCATGTGACCATAGAAGAGTCCTGTTCACTTTCTGCAGCCAAGTTAATTTCTCTGCACACTAATGTGACATAGAAGGGAGGGAGGAAGAAAGGGAGAGAGGGAGGGAGGGAGAAAGGGAGGGAGGGAGAGAGGGAGGGAGGAAGAGAAGGGAGGAGGGAGGAAGGAAAGGCAAATGAAGAAAGGGAGTAAAAAGGAAGGAAAGGTAGAGACACTTATCTGCATTGTCTCTAGCGGCTTTAATATTTTTGGATGTAACATCAGAACCAAGATGGGCTAACCTGGAGCCAGTTTTGGTGTTCCCTCTCATTTTGTTTCAGGGTAGCTCTCTCAGGATTGATAAGGGGACTTATAGCAGAGGCTCTGCATACTTGATGTCAATTAGAAATTTAGTTGAATAATACATTATTTTAAATCCAAGAGAAAAAAATAATCCAAGGCTTAGTTTGACAGCATTCCTTTCCTATTAACTAACACATAGCTGAAATCAAGAATTGACAAGTAGGAATGAGGGGGGAATTTTGGAGCATGGCACACTTAGTGGTGCTTTTAGGAGGGAAGAGACAAAGAGGGTTATTAGGCATGTTAAGAGTTTGAGAGTTTGAGCACATCAGAAATATTGGACATAGGGTAAGAAGGGCTCAGAAGATAATGCAAGGGAAGTATGATAACACCAAGTACAACTTTCCTTTATTTGGCTAAAATAAATCCTCTCTGCAGGATCTTATGTCAGGCTTTGTTCTCCATTTCTACTTCTTTCATTCTCTCTGTCTCCCTCAGTCTCTCTCTCTCTCTCTCTCTCTCTCTCTCTCTCTCTCTCTCTCTCTCTCTCTCTCTCTCTTTCTCTTCCCTTTCTTTGCAATCCTTTCTCTACCTTTCCTTCCTTTTTACTCCCTTTCTTCATTTGCCTTTCCTTCCTTCCTCCCTCCTCCCTTCTCTTCCTCCCTCCCTCCCTCCCTCCCTCCCTCCTTCCCTCCCTCCCTCCCTCCCTCCCTCCCTCCCTCTCTCCCTTTCTTCCTCTCTCCCTTCCTTCTTTCCTTCCTTCCCTTCCCTCCCTTCCTCTTATCTCATCTTTCCTCTTTTTCCTTCTTGTGTCATATGTTTCTCATTTCTGCTCCTTTTCTCTTTCTTCTTTGCTCATCATTCTCTCTTTCTGCTATTTCCCCTCCTTTGCTCATAGCCTTTTATATTATTTTTGTCTGAAAACCTATCTATTGAGACTCCTAGCTAGCAATTTTTTTTTATACTGACTTTTCCAGCCACACTTAGCTTTTATCTATCATTCTTTGATATGCCAGAGACCTGCCACCAGTCTGGTGACATCAACCATAACCATCTGCCTTCACTTTCATTATTCTTTCCCAGTGCTCAAAAAGGTTAGTAATTAGGCATTCTTTGGACAGAGCCAAAGTTCTCTAGTCCTGTTTCCTCCAGCAGACTGCCACTCACCCATCTCTTGAACCTCTAAGTACAGACAAGTTTTATTTAGCATTGCCCTCTAATTATCTTGTAGGCTACAAAGCCAACCACAGAAATACAGGTCTACATTTGTTCAGCAGAGATAAACTGTATTCCAACAGAAATGTACTCGACACTTATGGGACTTTTAAAAAGGGAACAGTGTAAAGCTGGCCTAACGAGTTATTTTTTTTTTTTTAACTCCATAAGGTGATCTCCAAGTTCCTTCAACTGTCATTCTGTGAGTCTCTGGTTATTTTTATTTTATGTAGATATTCCCAACAGGGACTTTCCTGGTTTCTTCCATGCAGCTCACTTACTGATTCAGCCCCAAGTAGAAACCTGCTACCGCTAAGCAGCAGTCCCTCTCCGGGCCCTCTCCTCTGAAACTGCCCTGGTGCTTCTGAGACGCACAGGCCACTTGTACAGCGGTGCTCATTGATGGCCTCTGGTGCTCATTTGTGAGTGGTACCCAGAAACAGGCAGAGATGCTGCATTGCCCGTGACAAAGGAAAACATAATCACGAGGCTCTGTACTGTTCTAGAGAGAAGATAGTCTCTGTTCATCCAGCTAGTTTATCTAGAGACAAACTAGAGAAATGTTTTGGGTGTTTTTTTTTGTTACAGGTTTGTACTAGGCTGGTCCCATCCTTCAGGTAGAACCGAGAAGGCCTCGGCAGGGATTGGGTGTGCTACCTTATCTTTCTAGCCCCCACTGACTTACTGAAAAACCATTCTGTCATCTCTCTGAGGAGAGTGTGAAACTCAGACCAGGTGCTTAACTGATGGCAGACCATTCTTTTATTTTTTTGTCCCAGTGCAGCCCACAGTATTCATTCACTCTAATTTATCCGAAGACCACCTAAATGTCACTTGCTCTGCCAATGCCCGCCCAGCCCCTGTAATCTCCTGGAAGGTCGCTGGGTCAGGAATGGACAACAGTACTGAGACTATCAAAAACCCCGATGGGACCACGTCTGTCATCAGCGTCCTCCACATCAAAGACCCCAAGAATCAGATGGGAAAGAAGGTGATCTGCCAGGTGCTGCACTTGGGGACTGTGACTGACTACGAGGAAACTGTGAACAAAGGTAAGAGAAGGTGGGCAAAGAAGGTGGGCTGTGTACTGTGCCCACACACCTGGAATGGGGTGATTGCTCTGCGGAACCTCGTGGCCTCTTAATGAAAGAGCTAATAGAGGAGAGAATGGGTTCAGTAGGAAAAGGAAAACAGAGTTGAGGAAGCCAATCAAGCCAATGTTACTTTGATAAATGTGGCACAGTGCCCACGTACCAAATGCTGAGATCCATTCATTTATTTATTCTTCCACACTAGCATTTACTGTCCATTGTGTGCCAGGGTATTTGACAGCGTCTAGTCCACTAGGAAACACCGAAGTGGTTGAGCAACTTGTAAAACTTCATGTTAAATGCTTCCATAAGAAAGCCACGGTGCACCATTGGAAGTTTGCAGGTGGGAAGGAGTGACATCAGCTCAATCTGGGAAGAGATCAGAAAGATTTCCTGGAAGACATCTTTGCTGAAACCTTTGCAGAATCTGTACTGGGGTAAAGGGTCTGATGAGGTGTTTGCCTCACCCTTTTTAAACAAACTGCCTCCTGCTCAAGACCCCTTTTGCTCTCTTATGTTTCTATCTAAGCTGCTACCCCCAGGCCTCAAGGATATAAGAGGTAAGGGTTATGGGAAAGAATAAAGAGAAGAGTGATAACAGCCACAGTTCTCTTTCTCTGTAGTTTGGAAGCACTAACTTGGATGAGGCACTCTGTAATAAACCTTCTAGAAAAATACTGCTGCTTTTTGTTGGGGGATTGGGTGTTTGTAGGGAACATTTTAAACAATAAAATCTGAAAAAGCTTTCCCATGTTTGCCTTATTGGTGCCCTGGCCTCTAAGGAAAATCTTCTGTAGTCATTTCTGGAGTCCTTGAAAAAATAGACTTATCAAAAGTCAACATTTAGGTCACTTTCATCAAAAGGTTTGTGATGTTAGATTTGGACATTTTTTAAATGAACCTCAGACTCAGCCAAGGCAAAGGGTAAATTTTCCTGCAAAATAAGAAAAAGAAACATATCTTCTTTTCCAAAAATACAGAAACTAACATCATTTATATTGATTTTTTCCTTTATATTTCTCCATATTTTCCAAAATTTCCTTAATAAATACATTACTATAATTGGCAGTAGACAAAGAATATGTGTTTTGGAGGCAAAAAGACCTCTGAACAGGCCTCGTTTCTACCACTTACTATGCTGATTTGGGTTTACTGAACTTCTCTCTGAGCCTCAGTTTTTTAATATTAGATAATGATAACACCTAACTCAGGCTGTTTTGAGGATTAAATTAAATAATACATCAATTACATAAAACATGTTAGCTATTATTATCTAAATGTTTTAATATAATATGTCATAAATATAAACATCAACATGTCTATATTTAAGAATAATTTTTATTGAAAGTTTACCTCTGGTAAAAACTCATCACAATTATTATTTTACCCTCTTTCCTCAATAGCTTCCTTTTATGATTGTTTTTCCTCTTCTTCCCTTCAATGTCTATAGGTTTTTGGTTTTCAGTTCCACTGCTCTTAAGTATTGTTTCCTTGGTAATTCTTCTGATCCTAATCTCAATCTTACTATACTGGAAGCGTCACCGGACCCAAGACAGAGGTGAGTTATCACTGAAAGTACAAAGAAGGAAACAAATGATTTCTGAATGATAACATCCCATGAAGATATAAATAAAGTGATGGCAACAGTGATTGTGTGTGTTGTTTCCAAAACACATAAATGTTAGTGGTATTTTAAAATAACCGTCCAGCATCATTTTCTTGCAATTGGACATTAAACTGGATGTTTCTGCTTTTGATTGGCTGAGATTGTCCAAAGGCTAATTATTTTGGTAAGTTGAGAGGAAGGGCTGAGTAGAGGAGATGTGGAAAATGTTTATCTGATGACTGGAGTCATCTGATGACAAAAACCAGAGAAAAAAAGCTTAACACTGATGCTGTGTTCTTTCTATCCACTAGTGAAAGAAACAACCTCTTTTCTTTTTATAGTATTCCACAGGCCAACTATTCCATTTAAAAAACAGTGGCTGAAACCAGTTTGGCTCATTGGATAGAGCATCTGTCTGTGGATTGAAAGGTCCCAGGTTCCATTCCAGTTAAGGGCATGTACCTTGGTTGTGGGCACATCCCCAGTAGGGGTGCGCAAGAGGCAGCTGATCGATGATTCTCTCTCATCGAAGTTTCTAACTCTCTATCCCTCTCTCTTCCTCTCTGTAAGAAAATCAACAAAAATATAAAAAATAAATAAAAATAAAAAAATATAAAAAATAAAAGACTGTGAAATTGTCCAAAATACTCAATAATTAAGTAGTAATTTCTGTGTTATACTCTCACTACATTTTAAACAGTATAAGCAGCATATAGGTGATCCATACTTATAAACTATGTCATGTCATTCTGTCACTATGTCATGTGACTTTCCCCACCAGTGTCTTACATACACCAGGGGATCGTAAAATAGTGAATGAATACATGAATGAATAAAAGTAGATTTTCAAACTGACTTTTTAAAATTACCTTTTCTTATTGTAAATCCAGTACCTTATAAGCACTGAGTCTAAAACATTATGAGACATTATAAAACTAGAGATGAGATAGAAGAGGAGTCAGCTAGAAAGAGAAATAAATTGGTTTCTGAAGACAGTCATAATTGATTACTGCGCATGCAAAGCTACTAGATATTTATGATGAATGTGGTATGTGGTGGGAATTTCCTGGGGTGAAGGGGTGACATGGGAGTTTTCTCCATCTCAGATGACTGAAAGAGAGGGAAAGAAAAATATGTTGGCTTATTTTAGAATGTCTGTTAAAAACATCACTCAAATGCAACCTTTATTTTTTTCTCTTCATTATGTCTCATAGACAAATATCTTTCATATTCTAGGTTTTTTGAACACTTAATTTTGCGTAAGACTTTTTATAAATACCATAGATGAATTCTTGTGGTTTTATAAAAAAAGCAACAAATCTTGTGTCAATTATCCCTTTGCCGAAGTATATCATGGTATCTACTCTGTCAGGGAAAGGAGACTGCAGATCAGCAAGCCCATAGACCTCGGTAGCAGTTTGCAGAATGTCAAAAGCAGAAAACTGATTCTCCTTCATCCAAACATTTTACTTTTCCAGTTAGAAGCTGACGTCTAGGAGAGGAAAGTCGATTTTCTTCCCTAAGGTCACACAGTTAGTTAGCGGCAGGCTTAAGCCTCCCTGGGCCCCTTACATTTGCCAGAATGTTCTCTCAGTCATGGTGCCACAGAGTCCTGACTCGAAAGGCACCATGCTACACTTATTTTACTCTGTGCTTGCTATTACTGCTGTATTCTTTTGGGAAGTTTAAGCAGGAAAGTATAAAGTGTTCACATTGATTCCTAAAAGTCCCTTTTGGACAAGAATCATAATACAATCTATTCAAACCCAGGGTGAATTCCACCAGTAAGGGGCATTTCCAAAAGAATTGTCCTCTGTTCATTAACTAAGTCTTGGATTTCCTGGGAACTATAATTGTTCAATGCCTTATCCAGTTCCTGAAACAAAAGAGCCAGCTTATCTTTGTACCCAGGCTTTTTTTCTCACGTATGAAATACAGTAGTTCCCCCTAATCTAAGGAGATACAGTCCAAGACCTCCAGTGGATGCTGGAAACCTGCATAGTACCGAATTCTGTAGATTCTATGTTTTTTACTATATATACTTACCTATGATAAAGTTTACTTTATAAGTTAGGCACAGTGAGAAATTGACAATGGTATTCAAAAGTAAAATATAATAAAGTTCTGTGATGTGACATTATTAAATAAAATAAGGGTTACTTGAATACAAGCATAACAGATACCTGCTGCTGCAGTTGATGCAGATAACCTGGATGGCTTGTCAGTGATTAATGGGCAGGAAGTACATACAGTGTGAATATGGTGGCCAACAGGATAATGCATATCCAGAATGGAGTAGGACTGTGCAAGATTTCATTACACTACTTAAAAATAGTGTGAATTTAGGTAGTAAAGGATAAGAGGGGTCAAATAAATGGTGATGAAAGGAAATTTGACTCTCGGTAGTGCACGCACAGTGCAATACACAGATGATATATATCATAGAATTGTACACTCGAAACCTATATGTTTTATTAACCGATGTCACCAAAACATCTCCTTTAAAAACTTATGAATTCTTTATTTCTGCAAAATTTCTATGTTATAATTTAGACCGCAGTTGACTGCAGGTAACTGAAACCATGGAAAGCAAAATCATGAATAAAATGGACTACTATACTAATAAATAACTGAACCTGTATTGAATCTTGTAAGAACTAGGATGGCCATTTACTGATGATGTCTTCGTGATATAAGGACAATTCAGTTAATTTCAATGCATGTTCAGTGGCATATTTTGAATGATTGGATTGTTTGATTTAAAAAATTTTAGCAGTCAACTCACTTGATCCCGTAAATTTAAATAGTTAATAAAACCACCAACTATTGATTATGCTTGAGACTTAAACATTCAAGGTTAAGGAAATACTGGTTCAAGACCAAAATTTAAGTTGCACAAAGTTGGAAGAAGGGGAAGAAAATCATTTTTTATTTCTTCAGGTAACAAATTCTGTGATAAAAGTGACTAGTCCTTAGCTTCCCATCTTCCTTTCCTCTTACTCTTAGTTATATTTTTCTTCTTTTTCCCTCATCATCTCCTTAAAACTTAAAACTTATGGATGAGCAGGGAAAATGGCATCAAGATTCATGGCTTGACCTGAAAATGGGTGATGTAAACAGAAATAGAGGGGAACTGAGTATGTTTGTGTGTATGTGTGTGTAGTTATGTATGTGTGGGTTTAGTTTGTGAGAGGAGAGGAATGAATTAGTTCTTGAATTTATTGAATACTAGAGGCCCAGTGCATGAAATTTGTGCACTAGTAGGGCCCCTTGTAGCTGCTGGCTGCCAGCCAGGTATTCCCTTCCTTCCCCCTGGCCAGCCCCACCCCATAGTCGAACTCTTGGATGAACTCCCAGTAGAGGGGACAATTTGTGTACTACACTTTTATTATTATATATAGGATAAGTAGACAAAGAATAATATCTATGGAGCTGATCAGCAGTAAGACAAATTGGTAGGTAAGGAAATTATATGAAGTAGGTTCAACTCTCTGTCAGATAAAGTTTATTTTAGATCAAAATCACTTCTTGATTACTCACAACAGCATAAGCAAATTTACAGTTTTTGGACAGAGGGGTATTCTGTAAAAACTATTATTATTTTATGGAGAAGTTAGACTCCCTTTACTTTTTCATGGTTCCTGTATGACGCCAGAGAGTATGATTTTGATTTTTCTTTTTTTCAACAGCAAGGCTGCAATCTGAAAGAAGGTGTGATGAGTTAGAGGCAATTTCTCTTTGCTCCATTCCTGATGGGATCATTGCAGTTACTTCCCATGAGACTGCGACAATAAGATAATAGGTTAATAGGTTTTCAAAGAACTTTTATTCTTTTATGAATCAAGTCCTTTGTTATTGAAATAGATAGTGAGAAAAAATTAAAATTTCCCAGGGAAAATTTCCACCATTCTACAATAGTTATTTCTTTTAAAAATCTATTTGAGGTCATAACTTTGTCCCTTCTACATATACTACAATCAAGTTAAATTGGGGCTGAAAATGATCTTCTATTTCTCATTAATCAACCCAAAATGATTGCATGCATCTCAGAAACAAAAACATCACTTTGGGGCAGATCATCATCGGCAATCACCTAATTTTTAGAGACCTTTATTTTGAGTTAGCAATTGTCTTTTGTTTCATTGAATCAAGACTAAACTGGAAAACAATAGAAAATTTAGACAAATGAAATGCATGTTCCAAGTGTCACTCTTTCTTCAAGAATATAACTATTTAATGTGGAAGTGTTTTTATTTTACCCACATTTTCTACATAATTACCCTGACTTATTCCACTTCACTATACAATAACCTAATAAATAAGTGGGCTCTTTGCAATGATTAAAAATGGCAATGTTAGTAAAACACTGTGTCAGTTAATTTCTCCTATTGATCATGTTTCTTTCTCCTATTTTAAGCTTAATACTATGTCACTTAACAGAGATGACCAGTAAACAATTTATAATAGTGAAATTGATGATTAGTTGTAAAGGCAATACAAATAATATTTGTTTAAAAAGATAAGAATCTTTGCTTTGCTAAATAATTGTATGGATGCTTTCCAGATGAGGGCTGGAGGAGTGTAATCCTCATCCCTACCCCAATTTCCTCATAGTTCTAAGTAAAAAAATGCAATGCTTTTATACAAAACATATTAAGCAACTTTTATTGAACTCCTAGGTCAGAATTTCTGGTTTAAAATTTGCATTCCAAATTCACTTTTTTTTTCTATAAATTTTACTCTTGAATGGGTGCATATGCCACCCATCATATACAAATTTCATGATATCATCTGGTCACAAAATTATGACTAACAGACCCTTAAGCCCAGGCATTCTTGCCTGAGCTATTCTTGTCTTTTGCCATAGACAGCTCACATTGCTAATAGTAGCAAAGTTCAAATATGCAGAACTTTTTCAGTCTGAAGTAAGAAATACTTCAGATTAAGAGATACAGAGTAATGGTGCCAAGATAAAATTCAGGTCTTTTACTTCACTGACTAGACGTTGTGTAGAGTCCCATATCCTCCCAATTTCTGTGCTAGCAAGACAATAGCCTAAGGATATCTATTTATTTACTTTGTGACCATTCTTAACTCAACGTCCATCCAGCAAGTTAATATCCACAGGAAACAAAGTTCAAGGTTTTATGGACAAAATACCTAAATTTCTTGGAATGCTTGAATATGTTCTTTTCCTTTTAGTCTTAAGTGACTCTGCAAACCTTTATTGCCTAGAATTAGCTATCTATCCTTTTAAAGAGAGTCATAGTCTCCTCACCTCATGTTGGGTCAAGAATGTCTGATTCCTTATCTTTGCTGATTAAATTTGCACGAGATTATTGACCCCTCTGTTACTTATTTTCTTAAAGTCTATTAAGATAGAAATTATAAATGTGGAAAGTTGATATCTTGTTCTTTCTTTTATCCAGAGCCCTAAGAGAGCTGCAGAACCCTGGAAATTATTCTCTGGTCTACTTGAATCTGATACAGGAGGAAAGCAGGAGTGAAAGGGTCATTCTCGAGGGACCTATGAGAGCAAAAGAAGTGGAAGTAAAAGGCCTAAGAATTTCAAGACTTTCTACTGCCATCTAAGCTAATCTGTGCTTGTGTGAATTACATGAGGAAGTCATTTACCTCTCAGGTCTGTTGTAGGATTGATTTTGTAAAGCAATGCAGTGTCGTGCTGTTGAATGGATACTGGACTTAGCATGAGGAGCCACAGTTTGAGACTGACTTTGGCCAAGACTGGTGGCAACCCGTATTAATCACTAGTCAATGAACTCCCATGATAGCATCCAGAAAATTAAGGAGTTGGACCAAATGATTTGCCATTCTGCTCTAAAAATGGATGTACTTCCAGGAGGAGGGATATGAGCAAAGGGAAAAAGACATGAGCAAGAGAGAGAAAAAAGAACTTGGAAAGGTTAAGGACCAAAGAACTTTTCTGAGATTACCTTTTGCTTTTCTGTGGCTGTTCTATCTCTTCTTCTCTGCTGTTCGTAGCTCCATGAATCTGTTTCCTTGTCACTTAGTATCCAATCCACTACCTGCTTACTGCTTTGCTAATAGGTTGTCTCTCTAGAACCCTTGGTTTCACTGCTATTCTTCATGTATTTCTGTGACATCACAATGAAAATTGGACTGAATTTATTGTGAAACAATATGGCAACCTTAACTCTTCTTGCCTATTTTTATAGCAGAATAAACATTGTTAGTCTTAGACAGCAGCTCACATTTTTAAAAAAATGCATGCACTCCTTGCCCCATTTGTCTCATAATATGACCCAGCCCTATTTTAGTCATTCTGAATTCAGACTAGTACGTATAATGGAATATATATTATGAATCCAGGCATTTAGATTTCCTAAATAACAGTTGTCTTTCCTAGCTTCTTTTCCTATGAGTTCACTTTTCACAGTAGTAGTGGATGCATGTCTGGGTGTACATTCCCTTTGTTCTAAATATATTGTTTTAATTAGTGGAACAATTTTGGAACTCTCTAATAATCATAAGGCCAAATTAGTGACTCTCAGTATCTTTGGCTTTCTTGTCTCTATCCAGTGACCTAGAAACTAAAACTCAAGTTGTTTTCACTATTGAATTGGGTATTTATATATTTAGTAAGCTATTGAGATGTTATTTAATTCTGTGTTATTTCTTACTTTTATATAAGATACCTAAGAATTAAAAGTGTGAACTCTACATATTTCGTTTATGATATTGTCTTGGAAACTGTGGAAAATGTAGACATTAATGATAAACCTTGTAGTTTTCTTCTATGTGTGAAACCTTCTGCTCCCCTCTACTTCTCACCCCTTAAAGATGCTGTGGACAGATGTCCCTGATCTGGTCAATGGAGGCTCTTTCAAGTTGGTGCCTGTGTCCTTTAGATATGACCCGGTCAGTTTTGGAGCACATCCTTATATGTATACTTCCTGTTTTGCTTTTTAAATACCAACATTTGCAAACAGATAACCTCACACAGTTTTGAATTTAGTAGGAATTACCACTTAGTTTCTGGTTTTGTAATACTTCTGGTATGTCAGCCACCAGATCATGAAGGATAACTGAAAGCGGCAATTCTCAAATATTTAGGTCTTAAGATCCCTTTCCATGCTTAAAGACATCATTGAATATCCCCAAAGAGTTTTCTTGCATAGTGAATTATATCTGTTGATATTTTCCATATCTAAAATTAAAACATACATTTTAAAAAGAAAAGTGTACAAGCCCACATTCTATTAGTTGTCAGAGTGATGTCAGCATCACACTTCATGTAGTTTCTGGGAAACTCCACAGCACACTTGTGAGAGAATGAGAGTGAAAAAGGCAAATAATGTGTTGGTGTGAGTGTGATATACTTCTGACTTTATGAACCTCCTGAATAGGTCTCATGCACAATACTGAAGACTGCTCATCACTCTCATAGTATATGGGCTTCAAAATGGACTTCAATCCAAAGCTTCTGTGCAACCCATTCCCCCTGCACCCCTGCCCAACAGAACCCAAACCTTGGTAGCAAAGCTCAAGCCTTCCAGTGGCTAGAGGGCTGAAATTGCAGGAAAAATGCTCACTCTTAGTTTCCAGCTCATCCTGCTTCCTGCATCCTGAAACCACCTTGAGTATTGCATTCATCTTCTATGGGCCTTTGTTTTCTCACCCATGAAACAGGGACACTTGGTTCAACAACACAATAAGAGTTGTTTCAAAGCCCAAAGGAAGAGCAGGAAGACAGAGAACCAGCATTTGTTCAACCCCTGCTGTGTGCTGGCGCTTAGCAGACACATGATCTCAATTATCCTCAAGCCCTCCTTGCTGCAAAGGAAACTCCCCATTTCATGGCTAAGGAAACTGAGGCCCAGAGGAAACCTGGTGGTTTCAACATTTATGAACTTGACATTACTCCTTGAGTGAGGGTTACAGATTACTCCCTGCAGGACCCTTGCCTAAGTGAGAGGCCGAGTGAAGAGTTGACCAAACCTACTAGGCTTAATCAAATTAGCCAAGGATGGGCTGAGCTTGCCTGGCATGAGCAGAGTGTGCAGGGGCCCAGCCTGAGGGCCTGATCAGAAAAGAAGCCCTGGTCAACCCCCAAGGAACTCAATTTCTTGTCCATTAGGCACTCAGTTGCCCTCCACAGCCCTTCCAGGCCCTAGGGAGATGCTCTATAGGCCAGAGGCACTGTTGTAGAACCAGAGAAGGATGGCAGGAGCAGGTGTATGCCTCCCCCATCTCCCCCAGCATCCTAGAGGCAGGGCCAGCAGGATTTGTGGTGGGACATGGTTGAGTTCTGGACCCCAACCAGCAGGACAGTTGGCAGATGACACTAAAGAACATCCCCAGGGATAACAACCCTGGAGAGTACTAGGTACCTGGCAGACACCAGAGAAGGCCCAGACAGGAGATGGGGCGATTCAGACCAAGGAATACTTGGATGGCCGCTGCCTGTGAGGGCCGGGATTGCCTGCCAATAGTATCCACACCCTAAGGGAGTTTATGCTGAAGGTCAGGCCAGAAGTGCCTTTGACCATGAAGGTAGATGAGGCCCAGGGCAGGCTAAATGAGGACTCAGGGAATCACAGCTGTGGCTCTAAGCAGCACTGGCAGCTGATGCTGCTGGGTGGGGCCACAGCCATCCAAACCTGGGAAGGAGGTAGCCCTTAGAGTTTAGGGACAGTAGGTTCTTGTTTCAGACTAACCCCTAAGGAGCAGACCTTAGGTACTGGCCTAGTGGGTTTTAGTCAGAGCCTCAGTCACGGTGATATGTCTTTGGCTACAGGACACAGCTCCTGGTCCTGGGTCAGCCCAAGTCTGCAACCTTGACCACTGTGTTCCCATCGGTGACTTGCATCCCAGCAGAGTGTCAGTGGCCTGGAAGGCAAATGGCGACCCTGACACCAGAATGTGGAGACCACCAAGCCCTTGAAACAGAGCAACAAGTATACAGCCAGCAGCTACATTTGACAAGTGGAAATCTAGCCACAGCTACAGCTGCCAGGTCATACACAAAGGGAGCACCGTGGAGAAGACAGTGGTCCTGAAGATTGTTCTTAGGATCCTGAGTTCTCCTACTGTTGGGGGCCTTCCTCAATCAGACACCCCTTTCTCCAGCTCCTCATTATTCCCCTAAGACCTCTACACAGGTCTGCTTAGACTGGGCAGGTCTCACTCTCTCCCAGTTTCTACTTCTTCTTAATAAAGATCTAATCATTTATTTAAAAAAAAATACTGAACACTGCTCACTTAAAGTATAGGCAAAGAAGACCACCTTATGAGATTTTGAGTCTTTTGTAAAGGAAGAACTCCTTACTAAACAGCTGTCTTTGAAGTGCCAAAACATTCCAGCCATGACTTTTCTGAGAATTCCTCTTAAACTGCCTAAGGTGGTAGGACTAAGCCTTTTTCAATTACTAATAATTGAAATTAAATTGGTTTATTAAATGGATTTTATCAGTTACCTTGAAGGATATTGAGAGGTTTGGATTTAGGATAGGTAAGTTTTGATGGACAGAACTTGGGAGGGTCAAAGAGAAGGGAGCAAGGAGGAGGAAGGGATGACTCAGAGCTGGCAGACCCCAGATGTTTGTGGAGCACCAATCTTGCCCTCTGGCTCTTGTTCTCTCATTCCTGGGTCAGGCTCACCATATCCTCCCTTCTTATCTTATAGTGCTTTTCCTGAATTTCTGAATTGGAAAGAAGCAGCTTAAGCTTTGTATATTTTAAGCCAGACTGGGGAAATTGTAATTATTTGAGTCACTTAGAATAATAACTTAATCACATAATTTTCTTATTTGAAAAAATTCAGAAAAATTCCAGATTGGTGGTAAACCTATTCAGAAACAGAGGAAAGAAAAATAAATCTTTTGTGCTTAAATAAAATTAAAACTGGAAGTGAAGATTTCCAAGGGTGAGGAGGTAAAATAATGTATTAATTACCAAGTAGGAAACATTTTATATACACAGGTTCAAAAATTATGAAATCCATGTCACAACTGGGATTCGTTTGTCTTTGGATAAAATAGTTTTTTCTTGGACCAACTTTCTTCTATTGTTATTCTTAACTTACCAGGAAAGAGATTTTACTTTTTTTTTTTTAATATATTTTTTATTGATTTTTTTTACAGAGAGGAAGGGAGAGAGATAGAGAGCTAGAAACGTCGATGAGAGAGAAAGACCGACCAGCTGCCTCTTGCACACCCCCTACTGGGGATGTTCCCGCAACCAATGTACATGCCCCTGCCCGGAATCAAACCTGAGACCTTTCAGTCGGCAGACCGACGCTCTACCACGGAGCCACACAGGTTTCGGCAAGAGATTTTACTTTTTAAAAATAAAGCTTCCTAAATTAATCCCTCACAACTGTAATGTTGTTTCTCAAAACATCCAGATTTGACCTCAGTCTCCCCACTACAGTTGCTCAGGTTACTTGCACAAAGTCATTCAGAGCTATTACTAAATTTTAAGCAAGCCAGCTATTTACATATTCATTTGAGCCTTGTGAGGTTGGGAAGGCATTTAAGGCCATTTTTGCAAATGTGAGAAACAAGGCTGACTTTTCTCAGACTTCCTGCCAATGCCTTCTCTGTCTCAATTATTCATCCTGTGACTCATCCCACATTCTATTTGTCAATATATGGTGTTTGATCTGACAATACACTCAGACTCCAACTCCTACTCCCAATCCTACCACCTGGTCTAAAGCATCATTATTTTTTCTACTAGATTGTTGCTCTAGCTTTCTAATTAATCTCCCGCTTCTGCTTTCTCCCCCTTATAATCTATTTTAATCCTGTTTTAAAATAGAATTCAAGACAAAAAATTCTTCTGCATAAATTTCCAAGTTTTCCCCATCTTATTAGAGTAGAAGCCGAAGTGTTTACACTGGCTCTCAGTGTCTACATGATTGGACGCCCTCACACTCTCAGAAATATTCTTTCTTGCTCTGCCAACCACTCTAGCCTCCTTGCTATCTCACCTACACACAGATATGCTTCCATCACAGGGCTTTGGCCCTGACTCTTCTGTCTTTCTGCCTGGAGTGTGTGTGTGTGTGTGTGTGTGTGTGTGTGTGTGTGTGTGTGTTTCAGATAGTCCCATAAACCGCCTCACCAGCAAACACTCTCACCTTCTCTGGCTTCATTTTTCTCCATTGCACCCACCACATCTACCATGTAATACACTCTACTTTTTTATTTTATTACTTGCCTCCTTCCATTAGAGAGCAAGCTTCATGGGGGCAGAGTTGCGTGTGTGTTTTTTTTTTTTTTAATCTTCACCTAAGGACATGCTTTTTATTGATTTTAGAGAAAGGAAGTAAAAGAGAGAGAGAGAGAGAGAAAGAGACATTGATCAGCTGCCTCCTGTACTGCCCCAACCAGAATCAAACCTGCAATCTGGGTATATACGTTCCTGACCAGGAATCGAACCAGTAACCTTTTGGTATATGGGATGATGCTCCAACCAACTAAGCCACATCTGCCTGGGCAAGAGCAGGGATTATTTTTTATCTGTTTGCTAGCTTGCTTTTCCTGGATGCCAAATACAAGTGGTCAATATATGTTTCTTGAACAAGTTTACTCTATGCTAATACATTATGAGAGGAAGGAGTACAGACACCTTTGTAATGGAATACTCTTCCTGCCCATGGAAAAGTGTGATTGAACTAGAGAGGAGGAAGGGACTTTTAGAATTGGTGGTCATGAGGTTTAAAAGAAGCATAATGAATTTAGAGCCAAAAGAATGAGGTTTGATTTCCGTTCCTGACATTTTGTAATGTCTGGTCAGTACTTCATCTCACTGAATTTGCATTTTCTTAATTATAAGTTGGGTTTGCACCGAGTCTGTCTTACTGAAAGGCTGTAAGGCTCAAGTGCAATGTGTTGAGGCATGTGTTCTCTATGATCCCCAAACTTCCATTGTCATAGCACAGGGCTCATATCCATTGCTTTCCAATTCCTTCTCACCCTCACAGCCTGCTTCACCCTTGTCCAGACATGGATGTTAGACATGGGCTGAAGAGGAGGTAGGAATGCTGGCAGTGGGAGCTACCTTTGGCTGAGTAGAGAGACAACCTGCTGGACCTGTGGCCCAGTACACCATCCAGAATGATTTGGCCTTTCTTTTTCCCTCTGGATAAGACAAAAGGAATAAAAGTTAATGTTCTTGCTATTTAGCATTTGGCTTTCTGAATAAGGTTTTGCCATCTTACCCCGGAGTATAAACAGCCATAACCTGCCATCAAAGATGGCAGAGGGCCCTCCAAAACACTTAAAGGGATGCCAAAATTGACTTCCCTGAATTCTCTCCTTAGAGTTATGCTTCTTTACCAGATCTGATGATATGTCATGCTATTAAAACCGTGCCAGAATTTGAAAAACTCCAGAGAACACAACAGATGCTTTGATGCTTTCAACTAAAAGGAAAAAAAATTAGTCCTGATAGTGAAAAATTCAACTCAAAAAGTTGGAACTCAAAAGGAAGTTATGTTTTTCTGGAAGTTGCTTTCACTTTTTAGTCCAACAGCAGAAAGACACTGAAGCCCAGTGCCCAGATGATGCACTTGAGATACCACATGATTCTGTATCTGCTGTTTAGTCTGTATTTAGTAATGCCTTAAACTTGTGTACATGTTGGCTTCCCTTCTTATAAATCAAAGACAATATTCTAAATATCCCATGTTGAATATCTCACCTAATAATAGGGAAACATGTAAATTGACCGTACCTTCACTATGCCCACAGCCAATCAGAGTGAGTATGCAAATTAACCCAACAAAGATGGAGGTTAATTTGCATACAAAGTGGGGCAGGAATTGCCATGGCCAGCTTTTGTGGGTTCAGGTCCATCTGGGGGAGGAAGGCTGGCACCAGACATCGCCCACAAGGTACCAGTCCATCAGGCCAGCGAAGCCTGTCAAGGTTTGTTCTGTTTGCCCAGCAGCTGCTCCTTAGGAAAGGCAGAGAGCATGGTTCTGAGGGTTCCCTGGGCACTGAGTCAAGTGCCACAGCCAACTGGAATTGGCCTAAGTGTCCTCGTCTGTAAAATGGATCAAACATGTCCCAGTGCCTTCCTTGAACTTTGATGGCCAATTGAGGTACTATATAAGGAAAATGAGGGAAGAAGTGAGAAAGAAAAGGAAAGGCAAACAACACAAAAGACTGGAAGGAACCTGTAAACCCATTGTCACTTAAATAGGGAATATAGTCAATGTGTTGTAATGATGGTATGATGCCAGATGGGTACTAGAAATATTGGGGAACACTTTGTAAAGTATATGATTGTCTAACCACTCTTCTGTAACTAATATAAAACCTGAAATCAATACAAAATAATATTGAATGTAAGAAATGAAAATTGGAGTGAAATTTTTATAAATTTCAAAGTTTAAATAAAGGCTGTAAAGAAAGGAAGGGGGAGAATAAAAAAAATAGTGTTTTTCATTTTACCACTTTATTGTTTTCTCAGTACATGAAAAAGACAGTTGTCTTAATATGGTGCTTTTATACTTTTCTAAGTCATTATCTCATTTTAATTTCAGGGCAACTTAAATATAAGATAATTATTCCCTCCACTATTCAAAGAAAGGAAATCTTTGTGTCTGGTCCCAATGATTCAATTGTCAAGCCCTTATTTTAGGGTTAGTAAAATTTTCTGTGAAGGGTCATATCTATACGAATAAAAGCCTTGATCAGGCCAGAAGGAGAGAATAGTTGGAGGCAATCAAGCCAACAGGTAAGTGGTTAAAAGCCAGTGTTCCCAGATTGTGAGAGGGATCTCCGACTTCAGGTTTAGGCCCCATCCCAAGGAGTCCCATATTGTAGAGGGTGCAGGCTGGGCTGAGGGACACTCTCCCCAGTGCGCAAATTCTCTTCACCTGGCCTCTATTTAATTAATAAACTAGATGACACTTCTGTAATAAACAGCAGGAAGCATTAAAATTTCAGTGATAGTGAGAAGTCTGATGAAAGCGCATTCATTCTATTGTGTGGATGGGAGTGCTCCAACTTATGTTTGTGAAAACCACTTAAAAATATCCTAGAAGCTTATTCCCTTATTCCCTTTTTTTGCTTGTCCCAGTGGGTTTCTAAATGGCCAAGTCAGTTCAGTGGCTGCCCAGACATGGTTGGAATCTTTTGGGTAAAGGAAATGCTTCTCTCTACTTTGCCTTAAACCTAACTTTAATTTACAAATCCCTTGGAAAGAGAGAATTGCATTCCTTAATGGAATTTCAAGCCTATTAACTTGTATTTGATGTGACTGGGTTTTATCCCCAAGGTGTCATCAGAAGCCATCATCCTATATAATAAAAGCCTAATATGCTAAGTGTCTGTTCAACCAATCAAAGCATAATATGCTAATGAGATGCTAAGGTTGCTCAACTGCTCACTCTGACATGCACTGACCACCATGGGCAGATATACTGACTGCTAGGTTAGCTTGCTGCTGGGGTCTGGCCAATTGGGACTGAGTGGGAGGAGCCAGACATGCCCTAGAGCCATCCTGTAGTCCCTCACCAGCTGGCCAACCTCTCACATCCCTCCCTGGCACCAATCATGCACTGGTGGGGTCCCTTAGACTGATCTGCATCCTCTTATAATCCAGGACCCCTCAGGGAATGTAGGAGAGCCAGTTTTGAATCCACAGTGGAACAACCGGTCACTATGATGTGCACTGACCACCAGGGGTCAGATGCTCGATGCAGGAGCTGCCCCCAAGTGGTCTGTACACTCCTACAAGGGGAGCGCCGCTCCAGCCAGAAGCCAGGCTCACAGCTGGCAAGTGCAGTGGCAGTGGTGGGAGCCTCTCCTGCCTCCACAGCAGCACTAAAGATGTCCAAGTTAGGTCCATTCCCCATGGTAAGCGGGCCTAAGCCCTCAGTCAGACATCCCAGGGTTCCTGGAGGGTGCAAACCAGGATGAGGGACATCCTACTCCCCTCCCCTTCCCAGACTGCACAAACTCCATGCACCAGGCCTCTAGTCTTGTATAAAAGGCTAGCTACAGTTTGATACCTAGAGTCTTAAGAGTCAATAGACATTAATGCCCCTGGGTAAACTGAAACCTCCTGATGTATATCATGTGAGTCTCTGTGGAAGAATCATATCAATTCAGAGTTAGAAAGGATTTCAGAGGTGAAGACAACTGGGGCCTAGAAAAGTCAGGTGACTCACTGAAATCACACAAGCCCTTTACAGGATAGAAGAGAGAACTAGGCAGCAGAAACCCTCAAGGCAGCTACAAAGACTCTGTGTGGCCTGACCGAATGTGGTTAGGGTACTGACTTGGCAGAACAAAACTATTTTCTACATTTAAATATAGGTTCAGAACCTCAGAACTTACTGGAACTCAAAATTTTCCCAGACCGTTTCCCACTGAATGAGGGTCAAAGCTATTTCCGTCATTGGTTTTTGACAGACCTCCAGCTTCTTTGGCAGTGAGCAGGTAAACATATGGTTTGATATTCAATATGTACAGTTCTGACTCTATGTTTAAATTCTGGGGAATTCTTCCCTCTGTTTATAATAATTTTGATTGTTTCCAGCAAAGTTATTTTTTTTCTTGTATCTTACTGTGAGTGAGCAAGAGAGAAACACAATCTTGGGTAAGAAAGGGAAAGTTTCCAGATATATCAGGTTTAAAACAACAGAAAAACCCCAAGAACCACTTATGAAGCTAACACTTATGAAGCCAGACTTGAGTGAATTCCCATTCACTCTCATCGAAAGCTAAACATATCAGAGGAAACATTTCAAACATGGCCAAAAAGATGAAAGGAAAGAAAACAAGTGATTTCACAGGTTTGGGGCTCATGCTTGGCTTGGCTTTATTGAACAAAGAAACGGAATGGAAATGATGATGTTAGTAGCTGGAGTTTGTGATAATTAGACTCTATACCAATGAAGTATGAGAGAGTGACATTACATTTCTCCTTACTATTTTATGCATGTCTTCCTACCAGTTGTGTTTATGGTAATAAGAGCAGCTTGTGCCTTGCAGTGGGTAGCATTTATGGAGCACTGGTTCAGCTCTTCAACTGCACTGCGTCCTGAGAGATAGTTGCAAAGGGAGGCTCTAATCAAATCCTTTTCCTGAAGAAACTCAACATGTAAAATTAAACCCACCTGCATATATTTTTTAAAACTACAAAAACTCAGAGGGAAAGTAGGGGAGGCTGGTAACGGGGAGAGATCAACCAAAGGACTTGTATGCATACATATAAGCCTAACCAATGGACACAGACACCAGGGTGGTGAGGGCATGAGCTGGGGTAGGGATAATGGGGGAAATAAGGTAAAATATATTTAATACCTTAATCAATAAAAAAAAGAAAAAAAAAGTTAATGCTTAAACTACTACAATAAACCCTCGATTTTTCGGATCACAATTTAATACACAAAATTTCCAGTCAATATGTCATATGTGAAAATTAACACCCTATTAATTTTTAAATGATTTTAATCAAGATTTTCTTAAAATGCATTAACATGTTATTTTTTGTTGTTAACTATAGTCTACATATTTGAATCCAAGAGTCACCACTCATAACCCATGTTCAGTGAATGACTAACATGTGATCATACCACATCACAAGTGATAATCGTTCTTGTCAAAGAGCATGACTTCTTTCTTTTTTCTTTTCTTTTTTTTAAGTTTCAGCTATTGCTAGTTAAAGGAAAGCAGCCTTTTCCAAGGGCAACACAGTAAACAGAAGGTCAGCAGAAGAAAGCAGGACGTGGGCCTCTTGTAAGCTCTTGTTCCAAAATCTGAGCTTGAGGAAAGAAGCCCCACTTGGGAATTAAGGGCAACTGGTCAGCAGAGGGATGTTTTTGTGGAATGGAGCAGATCTGCAGCCCATTTTGGTCATTGGATTGCTCTACAAGGGCTCTACGATGATTTCCACCTGCCTGTTGGTTGACATGATTAACACTATTATTCAGGGAAGGGGGCATTAACTTAAGGAATGATGCAGGGAGCCAAGAGAGTGGTTTATTTAGTTGAATTCTCAATTACAAACAGGATGTAGTTTTTATTTGATGTGAGCATAAGTTCATTTTTCTTGGAGCAGATTTGAAGGAAGATGAGGTCATTCTGGGAGTCACATTCACGTCCGATGATCCAAGCCTTCAGGGTGAAGTTGGGCATGAGGTTGGCATACTGGGTAGTGGTGGGATTCTCTATGGTGCTCTTAATGGGAATCCCTCTGTGTTCACCACAACTATTCCCTGCACTCCCTTCTGGCTCTGAGGATGCTTCAGTGTCTCCTTCACTTCTGCCATCTCAGATGGATGGGGTAGTTCCACCAGGGCGTGACTTTCTACAGCAGTTATAACTCAAGTTCATGTTCCCAGTCACGTGCACTTGTTTACCTGAGTTGACTGGTGAATGCAAACATTTACTTGACCTATTCAGGACAAATGTAAAATTATAGTAACACATACAAAAAACTTTTCGTACATATTTAATTTCAATTACACAAACTAATTTGTCGATTTTTTGGCATACACATTTGTAAAACCTACTTTATTATAGAACAGACTTTCTGCCTTCACAGACAGTTCCTTGCCCAAATTAGTCCTTTAATTTGAGGTTTTACTGTATTGTGGAAATATTAGGCAACTCTTGCCAAGTCTCTGTCTCTTGGCTATAATGAGATTATGAGGATTAAATCAGAAGGGTTACTGGTTATACACTGAAAACTTCAAAGTACTATAAAATAATGATAATAAAGAGACCTTATAACTATTGACTACTTTGCTATTTTAGCAGGCATAGTATTGATTGCTGTTCATATAGTATGTCATTTAATATATACCACAACCCTAAGAAAGGGTACCATTATTTTATTTTACAATGACAACAACAAAATACTACAATAACAACAACCAAAACAAACATCCTGGAGACTTGGGAAGGCTAAGTAGTATTTTCTGTTATATACTGACAGCACTATATGAAAATAATTTTGATAAAATTTTGAAATGATTTTGATCAAAACCTTTTGGAGAATTTCTCCAGAAAGTAATACCTAAAACCCAGCTTTGGTTTCATTAAATGGA